GGTTTGCGTGCTGAATATCTCGAGTTGAGCCTTGGGCGACACCTCGGCAATCCCTGGAATTAAGTTGCATGTGCAACTCTATATATAATACTCGATTATGTCCTCGGGCGTATCGAGTAGGCTTAAAAGGTGAAGATTTTTTCAGACCTCTTCTCGAATGCCATGGTGTATTGAAGGCCTTGCGTGCATTCGTGGCATGCGTACAGAAACATGTCGGTCTTAAGATGAAGACTTTTTATCTCCCCTCTGTTCGTTTCATAGGCTCATGAAATATTTCATTCTTATTCTTACTTATCAACAGCTTATCATTTTTTTACCACTTCCTATGGCGTTGCAGTTTTCTGATTCATTAGTCGTCCCGGTTTTCGGTTTAACTTTAACCGCAAGGCCCCGAGAGTTTTGCTTGAGATATCCAAGTTGTCTGCCTGCCAGTTGTCATCCTGTGGTTTTCGGCTCCTCAGAGGCTCCCACGTGTGACAGATGAATTTGAGAAGTGTCACCCTCAGTTTACCCCAATATAAAGACTGATACCGTGTCACCCGACACCATAAAGGAAAAGATATTACTGAGTTTACTCGCTCCCATTGATAAGGAAATGCCATGGCAAACATTCACTGCTCCGGGTTTCAGAAAGGGCATACAATCCACCTACATTCGTGCCGTGGTTCTCTCCTTGATCTCCCTTAATCTGTGTCAAGAGTCGGACCAGACTTCCTTCAAGGCTTCGGCGGCTTGTTCAAGGAAGTCCTCTCTTTTGTAGGTAAAAGGGGGGGAAAGGACGTTGCTAATAGGGGCGAGTGGGTCGTTGAAAGGGATGATGACTCAAGGCACTTGCGACATGATCAGGTGACACTGCATCTTCCATTCAGTGGGAAAAGAAGGATTCCTCCTCGTTAGTTGGTTAGTTGCCCCCTTGTCACCTTCCGTCCTCGTTGGCTGCTGGGTATGGGTCACCCGATATTTGCCTTTTCACTTTCTTCATTACTCATGCACATTCACTTCCCTCTACCGAGCTACGCCAGCCCTTCGGGCCCTTGAGATGAGTCTCGAGGTACCAGGTTTCCTCTTAGGTCTTCTGTTCGGAAATGAAGCGGCAGTACATCTCCTTGCGTGGGCAGAACTTCGACGAGACAATTGCCTCCTGTCAGCTGCCTGACGAAGCCGTGAATAAAAAGCATTCCTCGTCCAGCTGTCTTTTGCTTTGATGCATCGGCTTAGAATTGTAAAAAAATAAGATGAGAGAAAAAGAGAAGGGGGTTCATGAACTCCATAGTGAAGAGGAAGGACATAGATTCTTCTAGATGTTAACGAAATCAATTGTTATATTCTTTTGCTTATTTTTGCTGGAGCTCTTGAGTTCAGCACTCACAGGCATCGGTGCGACAAAGTCGAGGAAGTGGCGGAGATACAAGATCGTGGATTTCCCGCTTGGTTTAATACCAAAAAACATCTGTAGTGCCAGGAACACAGAAAAAATGGGGGGAAAAATTTTGAAGCTTAGGTGTCTTCGAGGCTCATCAATCATAGTGCGGGGAGAAGAGACAGAGACAGGGAACTCCCGAGTCGCGTCATGTGCGACTGATTTACTCCCAGGCTTCTGGTCCCACCCACCTGTTACTGGCCCTCAACATTGTCATGCGTCGACTCTTGGAGAGAGAAAAAAAAAAGTAACGAACACCATCTGCCCTTAGGATGAAATTAATGACCGTGAAAGGGAATCGCCCCTTAGAGCTGCAGTTCCTAATGAGGCACTAAAGCAAATTTTGATTTCTCTTGACGATGTGGGCGTTAAAATGAGTGGGAGGTTTGAGGCTGCTATATTCGATGGTAATAACCTTACTTCTCTTGACACCCCTTGCTGTGATATTCATAGAAGTTCACACCTATGCCTCACAGCTGCTGCAGGCGCGGAATACGTTGGTCGAGGCCTTGTGACATAATGATTGCGCGTATCTCAGCCGTTATTTTTTCAAGGGCATTCCTCGATATCCACATTTTTTACGGTCGTGATGAAGACCTTGTTTTCTCACTCCTGTTATCGACCGACGGTGAAAGTGAATTCTTCGCCCGAGCGGTCAACAGGAGTCCGAGAGGCGTTTGACCGGCCGGGACGTCCTGCCAGGAAAACAATTATGTGGTCTCTTGGGATGCACAACGGGCAATGGACCATACCCAGTCTCACGATATGTTGCCCCCAGCATTTCGGAAAAGGAAGAGCTCTGTGTTTAGGAGGGGGGAAAAAATTGCATGTCTCGAAGAGCTGTTTCATGCTATGAATTAGCTGACATCTATTGCCTTCCCTCAAGTGGTAATTAATACTTGTATATTCCCGTTTCCATTTGTTTTCAGGTTAATTTAAAATTTTGATTTATTCATTTTCGAACCGATTTTGTGTTAGATTTATTGACTTTTTTTTTTACCATCCATCCATGATAACACCCTTTCCTCTTCATTCACTCATTTAGTTTTTCGCGTAATCATATGTACTTTCCTTAATTCACCCATATGCATATATTTACCCTACACGTATCTGTAAGGGGGAGTGGGCCGAAGATTCAGTTCCGACTAAACGCAGACTTCCTTGAGTTAGAATCATCATTCAGTGGTGCAACTCCAGACACATCCTCTGGTGAAAGCGTTCATGGCTCTTGACCTTTCAAGGGTGGGAAAGTGAATGTTCTTCTCCGTAAGCCCCCTTGTTCATCGTGTACTTCAATACAAATGAGTTTCAGTCGTCATTTTGCGCGAATGCTCTTCATCACGATATTGAGACAATTTTTCCCCGACTTCCTCGGAACATTGCAAATCGATGATATTGATGCTTTATAATTTTCATTATTAAAGTTTCCATGACCCAAAAATAACTTCGAATTCCATCTTTAAACAAAATTGAAGCAATCTAGGAACGAATATAATATTGGGATAAAGACAAATCTGTTAAATCTGACCAATTACTGCATATAATCATTCTTTTTTACTAATAAGATCAAGTTTGAGCCAAGTACGCTTTAAAATCATGAAAATTTGAAGGTTTTTGTGGAAAATGGCTACTACGTAAATTCATTTACATTGAAGACTGCAGGGAGCTGGAGAGGTCGGCATTCATGTTCCCCCTCTTGAATGAACGAAAGTCACGAAAAGCTTTCACCAGCAGATGTGTCTAGAATTATATAACCGCTTCTGACTTAGGCTGCCGAACGGCGCTCGTACCTCAAAAATTCTAGGTTGAATCCTGACGAGTAGACCCCCGAGAAGGTTTTCATTCTGTAAGTGAGATGGTGGTGAATAATACGAGGTCTTTTGAGAGCGGAGTGTTATTTTTTTCCTGGGGATGCCAGACATTCGAATCAACAACTCCCTGGGATGCCATTCAGAAGGCGGAGAGGAAGAGAGTTCATTGGTATTCTTCTCTTGTAAGGCTATGTCGCTCTTACTTTTTCTTTTCTATGCCCTTCATTCAGGACTCAGCACGGCGTATCGTTCGATCTCGTCAAAAACATGTGCTAGGGGATTTCCATCGCTTTGCCTTTCACCTCTCCCGCTGTTTTCATGATCTGCTATGGTACACATGGACTTGATTTGTTCCGAGACCCAGGTGACGTCAGCATCTTCGAAGGGAAAACCGAATCGGTGGGAGAAATGGAAGAAATGTGTTGGCGGGAACCCTGGTTGACCTTGGAAGCCTTTGACAGACTTGGGCCACCCCGAAACATTATAACTTTAGGCTGATAAGGAGGGCCCAACCCTTTCCGCCTGGCGAGTACGTAGGCCGGATGCCCTTATCCCATTACACTTCCTGCGATTCCTCTGCTCCAAACGCCCCAGAAGCGGATTTTCCCTATATCTCTTTTTAATGGTCTAACTGAAGAGACATTCCAGGGTGCCGAAATCCGCTATACGTCATCACCGTGACTGGTGATAGCAGGGTGTGTGCTCAGATTCGCATCTGAGTATCTCGGATGCGCTCGACGCATTCCTCAACGAGTGGTTGCTCCAGCATCCTGCCTAGGAAGCATCACAAGTTCGTTGACCACGAACTTTGTAATTATTCTGGGAACGAGGGACTACCAGGATGTCATGAAATTTTTATGGAGGATGCAAGGTCTTCTCAACGGATGCTGGATATCGTGTGCACGTGTGGTTTCCTTTACTTTCCGGGTTGGAATTTATCAGATTTCATTCGTCACCCGTTCCAACACATTCCTTGTTAGCAGGTATTACGGTAGAAGCGTTGATTGCTAATATTTTTTTAAGGCCACGGCCGGGCCCCTTCCGGTCAGGACCTATAACCGTTAGGTGTATGGGGGTCTGTATGGAATAGGAGGGGAAATAGATGAAGACGCGATGAAGGAGGGGGGACTGAACTGAGACCGACCAATAAATCACGGAACCCCCGAAGACAATAGTATGTGCCCACTCCCTAGTCTTCTACGAGTGGGTGTGTATAGGCCGCTTTGTCTTCCCTAAGTTACCTCATGCCCTCTGTGATTCCCTCTCCCTTCCGACGACCTAGTCGTCTTGCTCTTGGTGAATGCAACGGATTACTCGCGCCTAATCGCCTATCCTGGATTTTGTTGCTTATAAATCTCTCCAAGCGTATTCTCCAAGCAGTAGCAATCGGCGGGGTGCGGCAAGGTTGCATATTGTCATGGCAATATAGCTTTCGTCATTCGGAGAGGTCATCGTCGGTGGGCTGTATCCGGTAACTTTTGCTACGGTGAGTCTTAAAAAACTCATATGAAGAGAGGCCGTCGGATTTTGTGATGCCAGAAGATGTCATGAGATTTTTTTGAAGCGCGGAATATGAATGTGCATCCACCAAGGAAAGCACTAAAAAAAAAAATTTCAGACGAATGCGAACTACTTGTTGAGAGGGCAGCCCTTCTACTTGTTCATCTCGATACGTATTAACGCAGCTTGGGTTGTACCTGGATTTTCTGGAGAGCAAGGAGAAATATTTTATATATTTTTTTCCCCCTCTTAGACCCGTTCACTCTATTATGCGTCACGTGCTCACTCGCTTCCACTCCACTGGGGCTCCATTGGGGCTCCATTTGGGCTCTATTGGGGCACTGTTGGGGCTCCACCCTGACGCGTGCATTCTTCTCGTCGACGTGGATGGACGTGGTTATGTCTGCGGGTTCATTGTCATGCCTCACATTTTGGCGCATCACCAAAGAAATATTTATTCTTGCATCTTTCCCCCTCGTGAGAAACGTCGACTGCGGCCCATTATCGCCCTTGTAAATGAATGGCCGTTCTGAGTCTCGGTGTTCCAGGATGCAAAAATGTTTGGAGAATGGCATTTTTGGGTTCTGCCAAGATTTTTATAGCGGGAACGAGAGATAAAAGCGGCGCGGGGCGTTGCTCTCTACAAACTCAGCCATTCCAGGTAAATTTATAGTCAGCAATTATTCAGGCTATCCTTAGGAGTGAGATTCCAGAGGGTGAGTCAAGGAATCATTTGGCTTCTAGTACGATAACAGGATTGTGACTCAAGGAAGGTCTGGATACTGAGGCACGTGGGGCTATAAACAAAGGGAGGGACCTTGAGGAGGAGCAAAAATAGATCCCGTGTCTGGATTGAGCTTGAAAGACCCTTCGTTGTCCCTTAGCAAAAAGCAGAGGTTCAGTTTTCGAAGGTCTGAAGACCTTGAGTCCAGTATCGTTGCTGCGATGATGCCAGGAAGCTCATTATCATTACTCATTCGTCCAGATATTCTGTCGACGCAAGGAAACGCCATATCGGGATTGTTGCCACGAGCAGTTGCCATGAGAGGCATGAAAGAATGCGGTGTGGAGTGTTCCGCTCTCGTTTCACTCCTTCAGTCCCCTTAGTGTAATACAAGAAGGGTGGAAGGCGACGCTGGTTTAAGCACTAGAACGCGAGGGGAGCTTGGGCAATTGAGTCTCAATGGTCCTCGAATGAGAGGTCATTCCATTCCGAGTCACTTGTGAAGGTTCGCTTCGTGATATCAAATTTGATATATCCGACGGAGGAAGTAGAGTGGTATGCGTAAGAAAAAAAAATTATCAATGGCACTTGATCCAGGCTTTCATGGGCGCCATCACGAGAGTCTCACGAGAAGCCTCTTGATCGATGGCGTGCGGATGGGCGATACTCTCTCTGCAAGGATTTTCCGCGGAAAGAACTCGTAAATCCGGAAGAAACGCGATTATTTCACCACCCCGTCCCATCCGAGCTTTGTTTACGGCTGCATCCACTAACTGAAGTGAACAGAGTATGAGGTGGTTATGGGAGAAACGAGGCGACTACGGCAGGAATGACTGGAACATCATCATTCTTCTCCCTGAAATGTGGAGAACCCCTTGGTGGAAATTTCCTTCTTTCTCTCTCGGATACCTTTCATCTCCCACGCCCACCTGCTGGCGAGACCATGCCACCTGATGACGTCAGACCTTTTTTCCCCTCTGTCCTTTCCCTCACGTTTTTCTTTTCGGCTTTTTTCTGAACTCAGCTTTTCCTTTTAATTGTTGAGAGCGAGCTTCCTGTCGATAGTCACATGCGATGAAAAATATTTTATAGATATGAGCCTTGTGGAAACGCAGAGGACATTATAATAAGTCGTGTTCCAATAATAATAAGCAACTGGGATAACATTGGCGGATTTGGATAAATGAGGTCTCAGACGCTGGGTACAAAGCAAGGTTCGATGCCATGCATATCCTGATCTGTTGCACGATCTCCCTGTCTCCATCCTCTGTACTCCTGCGTGTGTTCTAAAATTATCCCTCTCTCAGGAACAAAAATCGCCCAAGCATATATCTCGTGCCAAATGTGGTCGGGATGTAGTGCCAGCTTCCTAGCCTCTCGAATTACTTACCTAAAAAATGTATTGAATTCTTTAGCGATCCAATGCGACACGATGGCGTTCAGGTCTCACGAGACTGGTTTCATCTGAAATAGGCTTCCTCATTCGTTACTTCATCCTCCAATTGTGCCTTGATCCTTCGCAATTTTTTTTAAGCAAAATTTTTTAAATAGGAAAATTATCTGTCGCAATGTAGCGTAATTTGCTTCCGGAGATAGATCCATGTTTGAGACACGATTGCGTGGAACAAATTCGCGATCCCTTGGGATTGCCGCGCGTCGCGCGGGGCGGCTGCCAAGAAATTGACATTTTGGCATGGACAAGGGAGAGTGCCTTGGCGGGTTGCTCGCAGAGCAAGGGCCTTCCCCGTCCCGTGTGTGCATGCGATCTCTGTTCTGCGAACGAGAATTCAAGTGCGTATCCGTGATCTCCTTGTGTAGATAATGTTATCGTCAGTCGATAGGTGCTTCTGCCTCCCTGAGTTCCATCGTTCAAGTATTCCGTAAGCGTCTCCTCGATTGTCAGTCTCGTTGTCCACTATGTTACGGAGGGTGTCGCGTAAGGTCTCCACGGCCTTCAGGGCCAGCTTTCCCCCTGTAGTAAGTTTCTGCCGAAATGACGCGATTCGATCCTGCATAGGTCCTTGTATTGCTTATAGATCGCCTGTATTGTGGGATATGTCAGGGATTCAATGTTCTCAGAAGATTTTCCCCCTCGGTTCTCCCCTGTGCAAGAATCGGCAGCAACCAAATTTTGAATACATTTGAATATCTAGATGACTCTTTCTCTGCAAGGAGTCTTTGGCGCAAGAATAAATTATTTGGTCTCTTTTAGATTTCCGGTTCCGTTTATGATTAACTGTAAGGTTTAACCTCAACCCCATTTTGAACTGCTGTTTTGGTTTTGTGGGTTTTATCAGACTCGAAGAACCCATCGATTATGATGAGATTTCTACAGCACTTTCTAAACCTATTACAACATGGTTAGAAATTTTTGGGTCAGGAGCCGTGAAACACAGCGAGTTTCTGTTATGATAAATCTCCGCCATTCTTCTTCCTCCCTGATAATGCATGTCAAGAAGGCAAGAGGAATGCAGAGAGGATATATTACGGAGGGATCCGGCCATTAGTTGAGTTTGGCGCGTTTCCAGCCTCGAGAAATAAACAAAAGCGGGAAGGAAAGCCCATGTAGACTCAAATCGCTTCGCATAAGGGGTTTTCAGCTCCACAAACTCGGTTGTTTCTTTTGCCTCCAGGACATCTGAGGTAAACCCTCGATTGCGAGATGATTCTCTACAGTGATGAACTTGTCTGTGGACTTTCAGGGAGAAGGGGAGGTGATGGAAGGAAGTGGAAGTCGCAGCCCTGGTGGAGGGGCCCAGGGCTCAGCGGGGCAGGGACACCAGAGAACATCCTCAGGCGCGACGTCTCGCTCCCTGTCCCTGGCGTCGGTGAGCAGCGAAGGGAGCGAAAGGGCGGAACAGCCCTTGGTCGAGCAGGAGGACATCGTCTCCCTCACCCAGGAAGTACGGGGCTTCAAGGAAGCCCTCGGGAAATTGCGACGCGTCTTCGGGCCCGAAAAAGGTGAGACGACAGACGTCTCCAACCGTACCGTGTAATGTACCGACCGCAGTAGAAAGTCCAGCCGTCTCTAACTTGCGTCAACCGATGTGCTAAACAAAGTGAGGATAAGAAAACGAGAGAAAGTGTGCGAAATCGTTTGACCGCCGTTCTGCGTGAAGGAGCACGAGAAGGGAAATGGTCAGTCCACGTCGGGTTCGTGGCAATGCGAAAAAAAGAGAAGAAAGGCTAGCTATCATTCCCATTTTCTCTAGTCACGTCCGCCATTGTAGACAGAATGTTCCCTCAGGAAGCACGTGATAAAGGTGAAACTGTTGGAACGACAAGAGAAAGAAAGGATAAGATCCGCCCACCTGGATCAGGATTAGAGTTCCTTCCTTGCCAACGAAACCTTCGGCCCACGCCTGGAATCCGAGAAACCGCTCCATAATCCGCTGGAAATGTCTCGATTGCGTCATGGAGGCCTATCTTCGCCGTTGTCCTCGACAGGCCGATCCCTTGCCTTGCATTCCCTCGCACGTCGTCCACAATTCATTCTGAGGACTCGTTGCGTCTCGCATTCCTATGCCCTTCAGATCTGGGTGAACATCGCAATGGCATCTCCAGCCCGTGTCGTTCCTTTACGACATGCCCGTGGAGAAAAAAAAAAGAAAAGAGGTCACAAGGAAACTCTCGTGTACTTCGTCATCTGTATTCCTTTTGAATAGGGGCTTCAATGCAAGAATTTCCCAAGCCCGTTTGGTATCTCTGACTAACGAGTATAAGTCTGATGGACACGATGACAGATGCATTACAGTCCGACGAAGTTAGGGAAAAAAAATTTGCTCTCTGACGCACGCGATATCTCCCTTGACGAAACACCCGATCCATCAAAACGGAGGTGAAGGGTCAGAAAACTTATGCTCGTTTTATATGCATCGTGAAGTCCCACGCACTAAACCCTTTTTTTGTACTTGCTTGATCGTAGGCATCGCATGGGCGTGAACGGACGTCGGCGATTCCGTCGAAGAAAGTGTAATCTTTGGCGAATGTCACTTTCTCGGGAACTCACCAGTTCCTTAAACTTTCATTTCCGGAAACGTGAGTTCCACGTAATGGGACTGCTTTGTCTCTCGGGTTCCATGGAATTCCGTCAAATCGGCCTCGCGGCTTCATCTCATCATCATGATGTGAATGCCCTCTTAATGAATCGAGAAAGAAAAAAATTTTCCCTCCCCCTCCTCCCCTCATTCCGCCCGTGTTTCCCCCTCATTTGTCTGATCGTGTCTGACCTTTGCCTCCCTTCGAAGAATGAGTTCAGGCTTCAATGTCACTCTCTACCACGGGGTAATGCGGGTCCCGAGTGCTACGAATCACGAGTCCCGAATGCAACAAGTCATTCTCGGTGTTGGTCGTTGGCGCCGTGCAAGTGAAAGCCTGGGTAGGAGAATTGCACTTAGGGGTGTTTGCTCCGTCAACTTGGGATGAAACGGCCTCTTTCCGACCCTGGTTACTTGGTATTGCAACATGCATGACTTGCTTGAAAAAAATTGAGCCAATCCATGCCGAGGTCAGCATGAATATCCAATAGGGAAACAAAAAAAATTCCATTCACGTCAGAAGAGGGTTTTCGAGCTCATACATGGAATTCGACAGGTTTCCATTTCCAGTGATTCATGAGTGACATCTTGCTGATGGAAAGGCTTTCACTGTGCAAGGTCATTGTGGTCAACCTTTTCGATGTCCACCAATATGGTCATGCTTACCAGGGCTGCTAGATTCACCATAAGAATACTCTATGCATCTGTTTTATTTTTTATCGCAAAAAAACTCATTTACTCTTAATTTTTTTTCCCACGATAATTATTGAGTTTTAACATATTCTTAACATTCCTTCTTCTTCCCCTCGGGCAGTAAGGCAACAACTGCTGAGGAAGCTTACTCCTCCCTTCCTCCCCTTTTCTCCCCTCGGCACTCTTGAAACCCGAGAGCGAATTTGTGCCTTGTCCTGAATCAGATTAGCACTTTTCAGCATTATTTAGGGTTCCTTTAGTCGTGCCCCCTTGATGAAATCTGGCAACCCTGATTCCTAATTTATCCTTCAGCCTTGAGAACCTGCTAGTTCTCGTAAATCTTGGGAACTGTACCGCGCATAACGCCAGTTGAGATGTTGTTATGAGTCAATAAGAGCCATATTCGCCCGAGTTTTATCTTGCGTACCGTCACCATCTCGCATCTTGAGCTACAGGGTCTAGTCAGGCGATTCGAACATCCACGGTCGAAACTTCATGAAAGATTATCATCCTGGGTTTCTTCTTGCCGTGCATCGCGGCAGGGGATTTGCGAATAGGGAGATTGATTGTCCGGGTCCCGATACCGTTAAGAGCCATTGAGAAGATAAAAAAAAAATGAGGGGACGAAGTCTTGTGGGTTGGATCACTGGAAGAGGAGGAGGAGGAGGAGGGATGTTTATGGGAGGGAAGGTCGTCGAACTTAGAGGCTATAGCACGGGCACGGGACGGGAGCTCACGGGACCGGAACCAAGTAAATGGACGTCATTTCATGATACGCTGATTAACGCCGACTTCCCCCTCCGTTTAATTACTGTGTCCCTCGTGCATTCATTGCCCCTTTGGACTTCATCAGGTCATCGATCGATCGGGGGGTTTCGCCTTCGAAGTTCGGATTCGCTTTTATTGCGACATTCGTCGTTTTGACTCGCGACGTTTTGGTAGAGGTCTCTGCTATCAAAGGCGGAGTACCGCTAGACGCACGCTTTCACACGTGAAAGCCTCATTCACGCACGAATCCCAATGACAAGCATTAATCTATTTCTCCTTCACTTCCCTTGAAAAGAACTTACTGTCCAGCTCATCTTATCCTTTTGATGCTGCTCAATGACGGCTCTCGGGAGGGTCTGCCTCATCTTCACGGGGGCCGTGAAACCGCAGAGACGGCGGGATTTGCATGCATTCCGGCGCCAGAGAGTCGTCAGCTTGATGAGTGTATTTGTTAGATTGCGGTGGCTCATTAGGTCCGTATGGCTGGGGTGTTTAATACACGGGGGGAAAGTGGTCCCGATTTGACGTCCCGAGATGAAGTCAGATCGTTAATCTTGGAGAAGATGATTCGTGACTCACCCCCAGGCTGCTCCCAATCGAGTGGAAACTTCAATCACCTCACTCCTTCCGAACGCTCTATATAGAGAAGGAACACCTGGTCGGGAGGTTTTTTCTATTTTTCTTTCTAGGATAAACATGAAAAATGAACCTGGCCTAAATCCGTGTCTTCTCGGATTCTGCCGACATGACGCGTTTGAGGGAACCGCAAGTTTGGACGAGATTCCCGCTGTGGTGCAGTGGGTCAGGAGAACTTTTTGGCACGGCTCGAAAGCGGAATGCCAAGACAGAATGGGACAGGAAACGATGATGTCGTCAGGAGACGATGATGTTGTCTGATGTCTCCCCGATTAGGAGTCGCCCAGTGCGTGGGAAGTAGACGAGATGAAGCGATTCAGATAACGGGGGTTATTTGATTCTGGGGTGACCTTGACCACGGGTGACAAACGTCTCGTGTTACCCTTACCCTAGCATTACAGGAGTTCAGTGATCTTCCAGAACAATGCCTCAGAGTGACTAGACTTTACTTTGTGCAATCAGAATAGAAAATCAAAGCCGCAAAATGATACTTATTAATTTTTTTTTACAATAAGCGTTCATGAATGTCACGTGCAATGTTGCAATTTCTTTGATACTTTGCAAACAAAAGGTGACCTTATTTGCTCGAGTAAGTACTTTATATTTCTGTTTCGTACCCTCCCTGTCCTTGAATCACATTGCGGATAATTAAGCCTTCAGCACGGTAAATTCTTTGGTCAGGAAAGTTGGCTTGGAATTTCCAGCATTGGAATGAAGAGTTTCACGAGCCCTCATGCATGTCTCATCGTATGAGAGCCCGCTCTACTGACAGAAAGAAATGTGTGGATCATGCTATATAAGTATTTTGTCAAGGAGACTCGAACCAGTGATAGGCAGGTCATGCTCGCCACATTTCCGGAATTGCAAGAAAGAGAAGTCTAGCTCAGGGACGAGAATCCCCTTTTCTCCATTATTTACAAATACCTGTACATGCATGGGTAACCGTCGCACCCCGACATCCGGAAGAATGCAGCAACGACCCGGCTCGGATTTCCCCGACCCGGTCGAGAGCCGGCGCGGATTTCCCCGACCTGGTCGTGAGCCAAGTCATGGGTGAAGGGCACCTCTGCGACTATGAACGGAGAGATGGGTGAAAGAAACAAAGACGAGAACCGGGTCAAGGGTGTTCCATAAGGAGGTAGATGTCCTTGTCGGTCGAATTTTCATCTCGTCTGGCACCCATTCTCCGAGTTAAAAATACTTCAACGAAACAGCCCCACTCTATAGAGAGGCTACTCTTACGATTTAGCCAGCCTTCAACGACTCCCCAGCCGTACGAACGTGAATTATATCTAGGCGTTGGTGCTCCGAAGGCGTATCAAAAACGCATGTTACCGCTACTAAATTTAATGCCAGATATGATCTGGGAGTCATATCTGAGATCCGCCAAGGAAGAGGGCGTTGGATCGTTTCCTAGACGACATCATCGGAGGGAAACCGGGTGGAGTCGCCCATGGTGTCGCCCACAACGATGACACCAGATGGGACTCCCTCTTATCAGAGCACACCCCTCGTCCCCCCGCGATGGAGGCTCCGACTTCGAATCGTCGAAACAGGTGTTCGCGGAAAGGCATAAAGGCAGGAATGGGCAAAAGGGAAACGGAAGCTGAAGGAGGGATGGGCTCGTACGCATGGACTTGTGATTTACGAACTCTCCCTTCAGGATTTACGGGCAGTGCGTGCCAGGCATCTGACCATGCCCTCGCCTTGCAAGCGCCTCTCACTTTCATTCCCGGCTCGGGCCTCTTTCTACCGGTCCATTTACTATATATAATGCCCTTCAACCCAAGAAGTCATATGTTTTCATAACTTCTCTTTTATTCATTTTTAGATATTTAATTTAATGAATGTATTGTATTTGAAGCGTACTGATAATGAAACAATGCATCTCCTTAAGTAATAAACGTGAAATTTAAAATTCACTAGACGCAAGAAAATACGTGTATAAACTGGATATTAAAAAGTAACAATGTTCCTTAATTATAATTATCAACTGCTGCATTCAATTGCCCCACATTTCGCGTCATGACTCCCGAAATCCCGACCGACATGCATGTAGCAACATTCACGCCTCCACGACAAAACGTGAAGGGTTGACGTGATGGAAAGGAGAAAATGTCTCTCTCGACATTGTTATACACGTACTCCGCATGCCCATTCCAGGGAAATGATGTGTCGCAAGCTCATCGAATTTCAGATATTGCTTTTAGTTGCAGCGGGAGAAAGGATTTTCGTCTTTCGAGCTTGGGTACTGTACTAAAAATGATAATGTCCGAAGCGCTTCTCTTTCGTAAGCGTTGAATGCTTGAGGAGGGGACGGAGCGAGGCCATTATGCAGCCGTGATAGCTGCTTGATATGACGTGAATATGATGGAGATATGCACGTTCGCCAACTCATGCCACATTCGACGATGCCCGGCATAAATATTGTGTCCGATGGTGAAACCCGAGCACGCACGCAAAGTCCCGTCGTTAAAGAAACTCATTATGCCACCTGATACCGGTGATTAATTAGAGGGGGGCCTTCACTTATGCGATGCAGGGCGCGTGCGCCGGTTTCGACATTATTTGGCGTCTTCAATGTCGGTTACGGGTTCCGTGCAGTGTATCCACGAGAAGAAAAGGGGAGCAGTGTGTGTGCCGGTTTTCGGATCAAATCCCATGTTTCAACTTTGTCTCTCCGGATGCTCGAGTTGGAAGTTGTGCATTTCAGTTAGGTCTTTCACTTTTTTTTCTCATGAGATTTAGTTTAGCACTTGACGCACTTTTTCTTATCCTTTCATTGACTGGCCTATTGCTTAATTTATTTTAAATTACGTGTATTATTTGCAGTTGCAGAAAAGGGAGAGATTCCCCGGGTAACAGCGCATGATCGCCTGGGTGAAGTCCTCCGTATCCTTCGAGGGATTTTGGAGAGGTATTCCCCTCTTCAATCCACGGAACTCCTCATGGCTGCCGGAGCCCTCATTCAGCAGGTCAAAGGTATGATTTTTTCCCTCTCTGTTTCGGTAGCGATAACGATCGGGTTTGTGACCGTGTGCCGTATTACGAGCGACGCGCGTTGCGTCACCGATCATGCAGGCGATACGGAACAATGGACGAAAGAAGGTTCGTTGCGTCCCATTAGTGACCCCCCGCCGATACGGAACGCCCAGAGAGAAGTACGAAGGCGTTTCAATTCCCCTCGACCTCAGGCTGCAAGTCCACGTTCGACGTTCATCCTGAAAGCGGTCGTTGAATGGGGCGGCCGCATCTTTCTCTTGCTTGGCATTCTGGCGTCGAAGTCTCCAGCGACTTCTGCCCTGGTCCTATTTTCCAGACTTGACTGAATGTATCCGTCGAGGAATGAGCGATGAGACCGGACATCGGCGTCAATCATTTTTGCCTGACAGTTCCCGAGAAAGGAAAGGAAAAAAAAACCTGGTCTTCCACATATCGAGCATTCCTATTATACACCTCTATTTATGTTTACGTGCAAAGCTCGTTAGTGATTAGTAGGACGAGTTCGAGTGTTGCCAACACAGCTACAGCTTCATAAGTCCTGAAACGAAAGGAAAAGAAACGCGAGAGAAATGGTCCGGTTTTTTTTTTTACCATCGAGATAAACAATTCGAGGGATGCGAGTTGACTGATGAAGCATTGTAGTCTGGACTCCGTTATGGACTGGTTCCACTTCACACATCAGCCATCGAAGAGTCTCTAGTTCAACAGCCATTTATCCATAGCGGATGACCGAGCCAAGTACCTATTGAACACCAGGGGTGTATATATACATTAACTTGAAATGCCAGGTTTCATTGGTCCAGAAGATTGGCCCCTTCTGCTCCCCTGATTTAAATCCAATGGACTACAGTATCTGCTCCTTTCTGGAGGCACAGGTCAGTGCTATCAGGCATAAAAATTTGGGCAATCTCAAGGTGGCTTTGTTGAAGAGGTGGGACAAAATCCCTATAAAACAGCTGTGAGAAACTGTGAACAATTTTCCATGACGCCTCAGAAAAGATATTGCTGCCAATGGGAGATATTTCAAAGATGTTTAACTCATTTTGAAGATTTTTTTACGCTCTTTCTAATGAAATAAAGAAAAGTTTTCTTGCTCTTCATTGCATCAAGATGTTGGTATTTTTGAGTGTCTCCGAACTTTCCGGTCACCCTGTATATTTTTCCATTCATGCAGGATTCCCCTATGAAGATGAGAAAGCGGACCCGGCAGATTTCTTCGAGACCTTGGATAACTTGGCCCTCGCCTTCAGCTCCAGGTAAGAACGTAGTATAACGTTTGAGCCACTCAGGAGTTCCCCGATTCATCTTATGAACGTTGACAAGGTGAATCCATTAGAGCTACTCACTCGTTGTACCCCACGGTTGATAGCCATCTACGGAAATTTTTATTTATTTTAAATATTTTTCACGATTAGAGAGAAAAGTCTGTCTCGTGTAAAGGAAAGGGGTGCGTCGCGGTCTTTGCGGATTTCCGCTCGCGGTAACGGTACAAAGAAAAACCCACATCGATACTAGAATACAGTTATTCCTCGAATTATGTGGTTTGGGTTCTTTTCCCACATTCCGTGCAGTGTCGTGATGACTTATCCGCCGGGATTATGCAATATTCACATGTTTGCGAGCACAGCATAGCAATGCAATATCATACCGCCATCGACAAGGGATGACATTTCCTATCAGCCTCATTAATTTTTAATGGACCTCTTAAACAAAATGGCAGGAGGCCATGTATGGTCCTGCCCTGACTGTGTGTTTGTGTGTTCTCGTTGTTGGACGATTGTTGGAAAAAAAAGGTCGCCCTGATCACTGGGGAGATTAGCACCCGGGAACATATGGGCAAGACAGGGACGGAGTTGGTTTCTGGTGAAATCAATCCAAAACAAGCCTTTGTATCGTTTTTTAATTGCTCACTGCCGAAAATAAATCTGTAGCCACCAGTTTCCTTGGACTCTGATCATGCGCGCAATCATGGCCATCAGCGTGCGTCCAGACGCTGACTGATCCATTATTGCCAAATGGAAAAGAGGCTGCACGCAGCAACGGGCACAGGGTTGCTAGCCGAATTCAAGTGGCACATCTGGCACCCCCTACACTTCCATTAGTAAACCCCCTCATCGCCGAAAGGAGGTCCCCTACTGCACCGGGCTTGCCAAGCTCGTTAATGATGTGTTCCAGTCTGGATGGGGTGAGATATTAGGGATGAATGGAGTAGATTAAAAGAATGGAAGAAGAAAAGCGGAAAAAAATGAGCTCCACCCATGCAATGCTACGCGTGTATCTAAAGTGATCTCGTCAAAGTCGGTTGCCTTTTCCCGTTGATTGATTCATGTGAGGGCACTCCTCACACCCCACTGTGAGCCCCGTCCTTGACTTCCCAAGTAGCATCCTTGCTCCCTAAAATTACCTTTCACGCCGTTTCCTAACCGTGCACCTGCAACCGTCTGTTTGAACAGGAGAATTGGGGTCCCTGCTTTTCCTCTCTATTGACTATTGGCAGCAGAGATCTCGGATGTACCTTCGTTGTCAGCAAATAGATACTTGTAGCAGTGTTGTGCCATGTTGCAATGCATATCGTCCCGTGTGGAAACATGCCACACCCCCACTAGCTCAGCTGAAGTTCGATTGCGACAGACCAGAATGAAGAAAAGCAGAGTCTTCTGGCCAGAACAAACATTTCGGCTTGCTGTGTATATGCTTATGCTTCCCATCGCGATGAAGGAAAAAAATATCCTGAAACATAAGCTCCTCAGAATAAATATTGCATATGGAAAAATAACATCGAGTTCTGCAATCGAAACAAGAAAAGGTGAAACTGATCGAATCAAGCATTGGCATTGAAACATAGAGACATTTGACTACAAATGAGTTTCAGAAAAGACAATACCAGCAGAGTTTTCTATCGACATGAGATAAAGAATTGTGAAAATCCAAACAGAAGTTCTGGAGCAACTGAACTTGGATAGGAAATCCAAAGGGAGACGTTGAACCCCAAGAAGGGAAAGCGACGGGGGGTTCGCTTTCCTCACGATCATTGAAACTGTGGCGAGTGCATTGACTATCGTGCATGCACGGAACTCCCCACGTGCATGCATTCTTCTCCTACCCTCAATTCATCCATCACGTGCATCAGTTTTTCATCGTACTTCGTGTTTCCTTCTGTCGTACCATGGCAGCTCCTCCTCCTCCCAGCCATTGTCTTGCGACTTCGTAATATCGCTCAGGTAGCTTCAGGACCTCTTTCTCCGGACTCAGTCATTAAACACGCTTACCACCGAATGGATGTTGTAATTCGTAATTGATGCCCGCAGAGGTCGAAGAGGAGAGTCTTCTCTTTGCATGCCAGAATGAGAGGGAGAAAAATGCCAGAAGGGCAAAGTAACGGTCCACATAGAGAGCTCTCACTTTCGGAGTTCAACAGCCCTGTGCCAGTCATCTTCTTCTATTGTCTCATGATTCTTCAGCCCTGTCGTGTCGTCTCATGTCGGAACCATCTTACTTTCTCTCCGCACATGATTCTCGAAAATGTCCAGGAAGCGAGCTGGAATGCGTAAACTTCGCAAGACCTGCCTGAATAGAATGTTTCTTTTTTTGAAGGGGGTCCATCGCATTCACGAAATGCTATTCATCAACGCCTGATTATCAGAAGGGTTGCTTCACGTCATCACATTCAAAGTGACAAAAAAACACTAGCTCTTTAGAGAGCCTGATTAGAATCAGGGCTTATTTGCAGGTTCGATTGCGCATGATGAAGCCCTGCTCCTCTATGGAATCCTCGCAAATTACGATTTGAAGAGCATAAGGTGGAATTTCGAGCGACGTCTTCGACCTTGAAGATAGCGAATACGGAAATATCGTTACATTCGCACCTCCATGATGATCCGTCCTGCACGTGCTAACGACGATCTGCAACGCAAAGCACTCAGGGGAATTCTCATTTTCTGCACGTGCCGAGCGTCTATGCAGGAACCTGAATCACCTGTTATCCTACGGGACTTACGACAGCCTTGTCCATTCCTGGAAATCTTTTTGTTTTCACAGGTGATGGGGACGAAGTGTACTTCTTTGTTGCACTAATTACTTGATTAATCCTTAATGTCATTTGTCACAGTTGAGTGGGTACAAGTAGGAAAATTCGCTTCTATCGTTAATGTTTAAAAACAATTATAGAGAAATCGATTCCGTATGCTCGTTCTCACTTGATTCAGCGTTCATATTCAAAGTTGGAAATTTTTTCCGGCTCAACTTCATTTTATGAAAGTTCGTACCTAAATTCTCCCAGAGTTGTTATTTTTATTAGAACTATTATTATAACTATTATGATAATTAATATTAGAGCTCTCCTGAGAGCTATTATTTGAGCTATTTATGAGATTCCATTTTCTTGTCACGCATCATGTAGCACATGATGCCTTTCATCTTGATAGATGAAGGACTACTTTATTGGCAAGCTCATGAGTGTTCAAGTTGTTTACTCGGTCAGAGAGCAAGGAAAATATGGCTGAGTCACGGCAAACACCTTCATCCAGGAGTGACAAAGCTGATCTCCCCCCATTCAGGTGTAATTCCATTGTAGGATCCTCCTTTCATTCATGGTATTCATCACAGTACCAATCACGGAACAAAAAGGTGAAGGTGCAGCATTTCCAGTACATGGTTCCCGCGAAAGTCCGGACATCATTTCCCCCCCGGTCTCGGTCCCAGGGGAACGGTAATGATCTCACTTTTCCGGATTCCCCCATTTCCTCCAGGAAGTGAATTACTCATTTTTTTGTCCATTGTTCTCCCGCAATTATGCGCCTCGTGCGCGAGTGACCAAGAGTAATGAATGCCTCTCTCCGACGCGATGGAAATAAAAGGCAAAACTGCCCTACGCTGACGGCTGCACGTCGAAAAGGTGTCTGGAAGAACCCCTATGAAACAAAAGCCCGAAGGTTGTCACGAAATCGAGGGGAAAAGGTCAAAGGGTGGGTATGCGTGTGTGTGCGCACTGTTCAGTGAACCCAATGGCATTGGTCATTGCCAGAGAGAGCATGAACGGGGTTTGATTGATGAGTTTCCATACCCTTCCACCCCCTTTTCAACGTTTCGAAGTTCCGGGAAGAGGAATGGGGAAGCTAGAGATGCCAACACGAGGTTGAGTTCCCTCGAAGGACACATGTCACATCGAGTGTTGTGGTATACCGGACACTGCCCACGCAGGTACAAAACATACTATGGAGTTGACCTTGAAGGGGGCAGATTCTGTTGAAAACTGTCAATTCATGCCCAAATGGACTTTCCTTATTTATGTTCCCGTGTTTGCTCGTGGAAATGGTGTTTGAAGAATGCTTCAAGTTGAAATATTTTTGGGGCGAGGGTCGGAATGCGACCGAGGCAACGTTTTGCAACGACGGCTGGAATTGAGAGAATGAGACAGAGAAAGCGGTTTGAGGATAATGTATAAGAGGGAGACACCCACGGAATACAAAAGCCGGGTGTAGGGCACCTGGTTAGCGAACCGTGAAAAAAGGAGAAGCTTCTCTGGGAAGAGTGATTTCGAAACATCTTTCCCAGGTGTTTTTGGCCATGCGATGATCACCGTTGAAAGCCGTGAAAGAAAGCCGTATATGCGACTTTCCCACTCCCTCGAGCTCACGCATTGTCTAATCCTTTCGGATGTCGTTCCAGCCCTTCGAAGCGTGATGTATCTCAATCGAGGAAAGTGCATGACTTGAGCGCCATCTATAGTTTTCATGAGCTATAGGAGCTCTTGGGATCGTTCCCGGATGCACGAGAATCCTGTAGCATTGTCTGGATGCAAATTGCCCCGAAGGAATGAGAAAGTGTTTGATTCGCGTGCTATCGATTTCCTCCTCACCGCCTTGGAATTACTCACATGGATGTAAGAAATGATCGAGGCGGGTCCGTGGAATCCATCCATACATTGTTATTAATGGATCTCGCTTCCACTTTTGACCACAGGCTCGTTTTTGCCTGGGTGCCCACTCAAGACGGGTTCATTATATTCACCAAGTACTTCTATCGCCTTTCTCCATTGAACAATGGCTTTCCCTTTCGAAAGCCATTTTTCATGTTCATTTCTTCATATGTATGCCAACTTATTTATTTATTTACCTCGTTATCCCCTTATTCATTTATGGATCCCTTGTTGCAAATCCTCGTTCATTTATTCATAGTGTATTTTTTGCTTCTATTTTTTTTGTCATTCATATATGAATGCATTCTTTTGCTCTCATCTCATCTCATACAAATTTAAAAAATAATATATTTAGTTTATTAAATATTTAAATATTTTGATGACGACAGAGCCCAACCGGACAACCTATTTAAAGGTACTTTCAAGTCCCGACTCTGGTTTACAGATCTATTTCAGCATGTGGGTTGGGGGAGATTAATAGATCTGCTAAGGATGACGCGATATTACAAGAAGTCATTTTCTCCCCCAATGCCATTCGAGTAGGGTTGTGTCGCAACCGGAATGAGTACTCCCACTCGGCGAGAGACAAGATGAAAAGAAAAAGCAGAACTAATGAGACGCATGAGGCTTCGATCCGGTCTCGTTGAAGATTCGAAGCACACGCGATCTTGGCCTTTTTGGGGGTTCCGTCCGGGTAAGGGAAAGCGTAAGAGGACATAGAAATCCCCCGAAGGGACAATAGGCATCTTGCATCACACGGCTTCATCATCGAGTCCCTCGATCGCGTTATTAACCCTTCCGCCTGCACAGCGGATGAAAATAAGTCATCGTGACAGTCGCACGCCCATGTCTGCCTGGGGGAAAGGTTTCTTGGAATGTTTTTTCTTTTCCATCGGGTCGTCAGAATGCCATTAGACAGATGACTTCATAACAATGGCACCTGTGCCCTCCCGGGATCGTTAGCGTCACCGTTATAATACGTCTCCGATCCAAAAAGGAGACATCAGGGCTTTACTGGTGCCCTGTCGTGCCCTCGGCGACACTTTCTTTCTGTTTTGTTTCTTAATCTGCTTCCCTGAGAAAATGGTCGTTCTCTGAATCCCCTCTTAATGGTGATGATATTAGTTGTCTGTGATCTGTGTTGTGTCTGGATTTACGACGTGGTCTTTCTCTGCAGGGTCTCGGAGTATTTGATGGGAGATCTCGATAGCAGTTCTTCGTTGACGGCTAGTTCCACCAAGACAAAAGTGAGCCTGAATCTTGAATATCTTTTAAACAGGTAAACGAGCGAAAATACCTGAAATTAAATGAAATAATTAGCAAAAAAATAACATAAAATATATAAGTGAATGAATAAGCGCATAAAACATCCTAAAATTAAATTAAAGTGAAGTTCAGAGAAATTTCAGGATATTTGTTATGTTCTCCGGGAATATTTTGTTCCTCCGCCTACTGAATCCGTTTTGCACCGACGTGGGTGCGGTGAAGGAACGCAGAGGAGAAAGAAGTAAGGGGGCTAAAGCTAATGAGCTGTGATAGGAACCGGGATACACGACCAGACCGAGCAATTAGAGGGTTGATTGACACGATCGACAACGCTAAAAGAACTAACTCGGTGGGTGTTTCCTCGTGACAGTCTTGCGAGAACCTGGCATCTCTGGACCAGGATGTGACGTCAGAGGATAAGGAACCCGAGCAACTGACGCCTGAACTCATGGATGCCATCCTCCTACGGCTGGAGCAGGGGGTCGAATATGCCCTCCACCGCGCCAAGGTGAGATCTAGGACTGTTTCGTGCAGGTTTTGAATCGAATATGCTCATCGTCATGGCCGCGTTAGCGTGTGCGTGGTCTCGAGACTTGCAGAGAGGCGTTTTGGGTGAAATATCGTCGTTTCGCGCTTAACATGATCTATTGTTTGACGTAACAAATTACGACATCGTGCATCGTTTAGTAGTTTCAGCGGTTGGCTTCTTCCGTGTTCGTCTCTGGAAATCTGGCGGCTCTTTCTCGTTGGGCACCCGTGGGCGAGGACTCGGTTATAAATGGGAGGGGGGAAAGTCCCGTTCCTTCCCGATATAAAAGCGGGATTCCCACGCGAAGACCTTTTTTTCCCTCTTGCCCGGGGGAGAATGAGATGCAATGATGGAAGACAGTCTGTCGGTCGCAAAGGCAGGAAAAGGAAAATGAAATGGTCTTAAGAGGGGGGGTCATTATGCAACGGGAAAAGGGATTTCGGATTCACAGCTCATGCTTGGAAAGATCCATCATGGTCGAAACCCTCCTGGGTCGGCTGAATCCAGCCCAAGGGAAATTGATTTTCACGGCAAGCGACCCTCCGAGCTTTTTTTTCTCGTTGCCCTGAGGGAATCTAAACATAAAGACTCTGTTCTTGTGATGGTCAGGGTCGACTCCGTCACGCTCCCGTTTCCGCCTTCGCAATTTCGGCAGCATCTTCCCAAAATCAATGGGTGTTCAAGGTCAAAGAGAAATTACCAGGAGTGAAAACGTCTGAGTGCCCCAACGGCGAGAAGCACAAAAAAGGAACATTATTACTAAAGAAGCTCTAACTATGCAAATAAAAAGTCATCACTTGTCTGCAAATTCAGTGCAAATAGATACCAATTGGTGCATATATTAGGCACACAGATAAGGAATCCCAGGGTGTCGATTTTGCCAGGTGAAGGTGATCACGCTCGGAAGTCTGTAATCAGCAAACATCGCATGCACGTGCCAATAGACATTGATTTGCTCAACGCTGACACTAATTTGCACCATTTGACGGAAATATTTGCATAGTTTGGGTTTTCTTGTTTAAATGCGAATAATTTGAATTTCATTCCAATAAGCATTCGGAATGATACAACTGAAGACAAAGATATAAATGTATTCTTGAGAAAATCACCCAGCCAGCTAAAAAAAAAAAGAGAAAAACCTACCAAACATATTTAATGGCTTATTCAGAATAAATTATACGCTAGTCCAAGCATTGCAGTACAGAAGAGAGTCAAAATTCCGAACGTCAGTCATCATCATCAGTCACTCATCTGAACATCAATCATTTGAAAGTCAGTTAGTTATCTGTAAAAGGATTTGACAAGTTTGAAAAGGAAATGCGTACAATACTGTATATGACGTATTCAGTCAAGACCTGCACTTTATTGTGCTGTAGATCTTTTGCTTTTTCAAGGACCACCCTTGAACGATGAACTGTTATAATATTGGAGAAAATAAAAAATACTCTCTTTAATCACGTTGTGATTAATGATGCAATGCAGTGAAGGTTCTTAATGCTTATTTTTCGGTTATCCGAACAAATTGGTTTTTGGTTTTGTTAATTTCGAAAAATCGACTCCATGGTTTATATCTCTGTTAAGCTATATGCAATCATATGTGCATAACTCTCAATTCCTTACGAAGCCGCTGGAGCCGCTTTTGGGAATGCAAGAAACGGGATCATGTCAGCTCATTACTAGAGAGAGCTCGTAAAATCCCGAAAAGGCTACGGACGTCATTACGTCCCAATGCGAAGAGAGTAGTTCACCCAGCTTAAAAGCGTTTCTTCATTCCTTCGATTCCCATAAACCCCGAATTTCGAAACGACCTCTCCGTACCTCCTAACAAGTTTCTTGAAAGAGAAGTATAAGACGAGATTCATTAATTTCCCCTCTGGAGTCCTGGGGGCGTGCCCTCGGAATGAAGAGATCTTGCGCAAATGCATTTAGAGGGGGGACTCAACAGGAATGTGCTTTTTACTTCCACGAACGAAAAAGTCTGTAGATGAGGGAATGAATGGTCTTAGGGGGCAAGATGATGATGAATGGACGCATGTGAGTGACCTTGGCTTTTGACTATTCCGACTCTTCTTCCCCCCCCCCCCCCCTCGGTTCCAGAATTCTTGCGTTGATTAAGGCGCAGATTAAGATAAAGGTATTCTTTCTCGCCAGATTTGGAGCAAATACGCAAAAGATATGATGGGGTACGTGGAGAAGCGGGCGCAGTTGGAGCTGGAGTATGCGAGGAATGTCGCCAAACTCGCCCAGAGTGTTCGACCGACCCTCAAGGAAGAGGTGAGACGAAAAAAGCCAAAAATTTTCGGAGGCGGTAACAATTCAAAAAGTCAGGAGGATGAGAGGGCTTCGGGGATGTTAAAAATGGACAGATGTTGGAAATTGAGAGGAATTCAATTTCATCCTCACGCATGAAAAATGGGGAGATTTTGGAAATCGAGAAGCACTCTATTTCATCTGCACGCATGAAATATTCCGTAAATGACAGAAAATCGGTGTTTCTTTTTGCTCCCTTATTGAGAAAATCGGTGTTTCTTTTTGCTCCCTTATTGCCTCTGACGTAGATAACTTTCCCTCTCCATTTCTATGCACAGATGCGTGCTTTTTTTTTCATCCGTATAACGAAAATTTATGGATTCAGATATGTCAAAAAAGCAAGCACTTACACTTTTTTTGGCTTACGTTATAGATCCCAAAAATACCCGAATATCAACATCCATTTAGAAATATCTTCAAGGCACAAAAACAAGGAAAAGCATGGGATCAATAAACGCTTTTTTGATATGACGTTAATGCATCGTGATTTGTATCGACGCCGAGTCGTCCCAGGAAACGGGAATTTTAGAACCAGCGAAAATGTTCATTGCAAGATATATTTATGTTTTCATCCTTGTTTGTAGGGATTCCTGCCTTTCCAATCCATCTATTGCACGGCTCTAGACCAGGACTTGGAGAACGCAAACACGACCCAGGCGACGTGCACTCTCCTTCAGGGACACAAGTTCATCGAGGTAGGCGTCCCTCTCGCTTTCTATCGAAAGGGTTAATGGTCCATCTTCGGCTGCAAGGTCTCGTCCATTCATCACCGGCCTCTAGTAGGTGTATGAGGCTAGGTAACTCATAAAATATGCATCTGGATTCTCCCCCCTGAGAAAAATGCTTTCTCTCCATCAAGGAGGCTGGCCTGGATTAATTCATCTCCGTGATGGATGATGCGTGTGATTTGAATATTGGTTACCATCGGGCCCGCACAGGTGTAGGGGGTCCGCAAGGCTATCTAATATGTTGAGGCCATCTGATATGCCAAAGCCATCTAATTTGGCTCGTCTACCGACATTACTCAGTCTACGAGTGGATTCGACTGTGACGTTTGTCCCTGGTTGGTAGTTTTCGCTTTTTGGACGTGCCTGAGAGGGTAGTCTGGAGGCGGAGGGAAGTGACGGTCAGATGCACACCTTAACGGTTTAAGGTCAACTGCCCCGTTGCAGGATGATGATCATGATGATCTTGTATCTCAGACACTTTGATTGAGACGCACCACCCTTTCAGAGATCGTGACACGACCCTAGACTGGGACTCTTGCCAACCTCGACGCATTTTGCACTCGTAATGGCACTTGATTCGAGCGGGCTGTCCCCGCACTCCCACTCTCAGGTTTTGATTATTCCCTCATGAGTTCAAATTATTCCTTCCCACTGCAGTTCCTTTCGCTCCGCCCATTGAGTTCTCAGCGTAGCTCATCCCTGACGTCGTTAAAAGCGAAATTCCGGTTAAAATTCAGCGTACCGTTCCTTTTTCAAATCTGTGCATGCGATCCCTTAGTGTGTAATGAAAGGATGTGACGCGATGAAAAGATAGAAGGGACGAAAGAAAAGGTCCGGTGCCCATGGTCTGGTATTCACCTCTTTGTTCTTTTGCTCTTGCTCACTCCTTCCATCATCGTAACGTACCGTTCCGGAAAAGTCCTCTTTCGAAAGTCCCTTAGCGCTGACCGTCACCCGATCATTCGAATTTGTCTTTTGTCAGCCGCTGACGGCGAGGCGAACGGAACACGAGAGATGCCGGAAGCAGTTGAAGGACACATGGGCCCGGGAGGTGAAGAAGATGCAGGAAGCGGCGGCGAACGTGAAGAAAGCCAAGAGCTTGTACATGGCCCGAGCCCAGGAACACCGGCGGGCCAAGGAAGCCGCACAGCAGCAGCAGGCCCAAGTGGTAACGGCATCCACTCCATCTACCCCTCACGGATCCATGGAGACCCAGCCCTTTCCGGTGTCTCAAGATGCCGTCAAGCTGGAGAAGAAACGAAAGCTCGAGGACGATGCCCTCCAAAAGGTTCTTTTTCTTTGCTCATTCCCTGCCGATTTTACGAACTTGCAGCTCGGATTCATAATGAACCTACTTCAGATTTCTGTACCATGTTACGCGAGGAAACACAATAGCTTGCCGGGGGGTGGTTAAATCTAAGATCATATTTCTGTCGTGGTGGCAGGTTTGGCTAGATTGTGCAGGCTGAATGTCCTGGATCGTGTCAATCCTGAATGGACGCTCATAAATGTTGAGGACATCAGTGAGCTGAGGAAGACAGAGGTCGTTTTGGGTTGGATAACTGATCCTGAGGATCCCATTGCCTATCGAAAATAAAAGATAAATATTTCTTCTGTTGTGATACTATGTCAACAATTGATAATAAAAATTAATTAGAATTACAATTGTATTCAAGAATTTTGCTTTCAGTTTCAGTACAGAGGCTTGTGCATATACTGTATATCTCAAGGAACCCCAGATTTTCTTTTATTACCACGGGGGAAAAATGTGGCAGATGTTAAAAACAAGCATGTTTCTTCCAACACGACTTTACTTTCTAAAATACCTTTTTTTTTTTTCTTGGACATTCGAAGGCATCCAACGCGGAGGCTAGTTTATGAGTCTAAGGAGAGAGATGCATCTGTCCGTGCTAATTCCCTGCTCTCCGCGGCTTCTCCCATCCGTCTTCTGGGTTTTTTGTTACCCCCTCCCCGTCTAATCCGAAAATAGTCTCTCGGGAATAGATGGTCTTTCCCCCTCCCCACCTGGAAAAAGGAAAAAGGTTCACGGAGTACACGTTTAAGCCCTTCTAGGAATTGGCAGGTCCTCTTTCAGCACATCCCTGATCCTCTTGGCACTATCCTTCTTTCTTCTCTGAATTCGGAGAATTTCTCGTGATTTCCCGTCTTTCATGAAAGTCCGTTTCGCGCGACGTGACAGGAAAACAAACAGAAAAGCATAAAACCAGACATTTTCTGGATAACCGGTTCAGAAATTAATTTTTTTATTATCTTCGTGTCAGCGCTGAAAAGGCCTTGCCCATCAGGAGCCCTTTCCTTCCCTTGTTCCAAAAACCGAAATGAGGCGCGATATGATGGACAGGGCCCTTGGTGCCGGAATCCAAGGGCATGAGTGCGAGGTGAAAAAGAAACCACGCCAATTAGGCTTTCTTTTCCCTTTTTTCTGGCTAAGATTCCATCGAAGGCCGCTTGACAGATTTAGAAAGGATTCGAAGGAATGAGAGACAAGAATCGAGTGTAGGGGTTCCTGGCTCGACTTCCCAGAAGGGCAAGAAGTGAAAAGATGTTTTGTCTCATAATAATCCTTTGCGAGGGACCCTTCACGGAATTTGACCTTCTGCAAGGGGATCCTTCCCATCATGTCTTCTGGAGAGGACTAGGCTCGAGTGTCTCGTATCTCGTATCGCACATGTCAGAGAGGTCAATCTGTACGGTCATTAGATGCTGACTGGGGGTCCCTTCCTCCCAGTAATGCACTGAATGTGAAGGCTATTTCGCATTCGTTTTGGGGGTGGAAGTCCCTCCGTGAAGGCGTCCATCCTCAAAGTTTCCACGGTAAAGAGGCCACGGGATCAATGTCTTCCTTCCCCGTCGCTTCGTTGGGTGGTCGATCTCATTCGGCAATGCTCACCCGAAGTTTCAAGGGAATTTCCCCATGGGAGATTCTTGAGGCACTCTTTCAAAACCAAGTGTCACTTTTTTTTGCCAACCCAACGTATATTTCCACTGGAAGCCACAATGAAGTCATCTATTAGAACCTCTGATGAATCGATCTTGGGCCAGGTCGAAGACTTGAATGAAGTATAAAGAAATGCCGTCGACGTTGTGTTGGTCCCTTCGTGGAATTACAGTATGCTTCTCGACGAGATTGCGTCGCGGCTGCGAGATACAGTTGGAAGAGTCACAGATAACCGAGCGGTTATTCTTTATCTGTTGATTCTTCCAGCTGACGCACGTGACACGTCCATGATGAATCTGATGATATTCAAATGCGTATCCTGAATACAGCGACCAACACCTATAGAACGAGAATAAAAGTGCCCTCGGTTGCGTATCGCACCTGTTGGTCTACCTTCGGTTTATTCGAACTAACGGTATCTCATGGACATCCAGGATGAGAAAACCCAGACGACTCCGACGATTCCTTAAAAAAAAAAAAAACTGGCAAGAACTTGATGCCTCCGCGTAAACCTTGGGAGCGACATGGCGCAATGACCCCGGAATGTAATCTCATAGTCTTCAACTAAACCTTATCCTCTGGAGAATTTCATAGAGTGGGTATTAAATGTGAAGGAGACTCGAAGCGGAGGCAGACGAGCTCTCAGTCGTCCACTCTCATTAAGAAACGAAAATGCTGACGAGAAAATGTGAGAGTCGTGTGAATCGGTCTGTGACGGAAACCAAGCCCTGTAGTGGTCCACTGCTGGTTTTGCAGGCCTGTTTCTAAGCAGGTTGGGGTTTACGACCTTCCTGTCTTGCCAGTTCAGAAGTATGATAATACTGTGCATTATAAGGAAAGTTATATTTCCACACATGCCCAGATTTTCTTGATAACAACTGATGTAGAATCACCGCGCATCTGATCTTCGAGTCAAGAGATTTAGTCTTTCCTGTTGAATCTGCAATTCTCAATGCTGTGCGGAATGGAACCGTCAAAGGAATTCGCATGACACTATTTGAATATACCTTTGGGAAAAAGAGCTAATAAAAATGTACTGACACCCTGCATGATAACGCAAAAACCGCTCACGAATAATTCTCATTTCGTTCTGTCCCGCCAGGCACTGGAGGCAGAGACGACCTACAAGGCGTGTGTGGCGGAGGCGAACGAGCGTCACGCGTCGCTCCTGCGAGTCAAGTCGCAAGTGTTAAGCCAGGTGCGGGAATTGATGCTCCAATGCGATCAGACGATGAAGGCTGTCACCGTCGCCTACTTTCAGCTCCAGCACACCGTCTCCGCTGCCCCACCTGTCCAGGTAAGGCAGCTTCATTTAAGAAAATCCCTCGCATGGATCTGGTTTGGAATCTTGGGAATCTTTTTCCCACCTTCCTTTCGTCTATGAAACGACAACGTTATCCATAAAAAATAATTTTTTTGACCCAATTTCTGCCAGGATGAGTCAGAGATTTACCTCCAACTGCATTCAGATATTTTGGTGGAATTCGTTAGTCTTTTGTGATGATTGAAAATGTAGGGATGCTCTCACACCACTGGGGCAGAGGAAGGAGGGGCTGATGTAAGGTCGCAAGGTCTGGTGCCCCTCTTCCCCTTAAAAAAAAAAAGGCGGCCCTTTAGGTCTAGGTTTCTAATCCTTGGACCCTTGAGGGCGATGCGGATCTATTGCCGTTAATTGGAGTTGCAGAAGCCGTTCGCGTGATGACGCCTTCATTTTCTCACCTCTGGTCCCGGCAATCATCCTGAGAACTTTTCTTACCCTCCACACGTTTCACTCATTAACTTCTTCCCCGCCTGGACATTGTACGCCTCTTTTCTTTAGCCTTTTCCTAAGGGTAGGCGCCTTCGGGTGCATCATTCCATGGAAGAATGATGGATGAGAGCCATTTCTGGCGAGATGGGGAATTTCATGCTTCTTGTGTTCTGGTTTTTACTGTGTTCGAGTTGTCGCCCGGTCTCTGCACCGATGCCAAGTTGCGTAGAACTTTACGAGCTGATCGTTTTCAGGGCGAGGAGAGAGGGAGAGTGGAATGAGTCTGGGAGGAGGGGCCGCGGTACACCCGACCGTAATAATCCGTACTTCCCTTTTTTTTATGTTCTTTCTTCCCGTCTTTCTCTCGTGCATATGGAAGGGGGCCATCGAGAGGCAGGTATGCATCGCGGAGCTCATGATGTTATTATTAGCCATCGTCGGTTCGTTGAACTCATCATCGTTCTTTTTACGACGAAAAGGACGAGCCAGCAGGGGTCTCGCATATCCTCTTTCCCTCCATCAACACCATAGGGATCGGGGGACTTCCTTTTACTGCCTCCGTCTTATTATCCCATCCCGGGAAACCTTGAACGGTACTTGGCACAGGTGGAAATGGTGTCACCGATGAGCGGCAGACTGCGACCATCTCTTATCACGCTGCAGATCAGAGATAACGAACCTGGGGAGTGTGCGATCCGTCGAGAAATGAAAGAGAATTATGGTGCAAGAAAAGTCAGGAACTGTTAATGGAAGAAGGCACTCGCAGTATGAGATTCATGCCTGAGAGGAGGAGTTCAGCATGAAAGTTGGCACACCTCGTAAAGAATGGCGAAGATAATACCAGGGTGTAATTTCGTGGAAGTACAGGGAGTTCATAGACTGCACTAAATGAAAATGGTGTATTTCCAGAACAGCTTGACAGACTGCCATAAAATTTGAGGTAACTGAAGTCACCTTCACCGTGGTTCAGATAATTCAACTCACAACAGAATTTCTAGACGTGTTTTTCTGGATAGGACTACTGGCTGCGAGGTTATCTGAAAGGCAATGCGTACCGTGATAGCCCACGTGATGCGGCCGCCTTAAATCGTCCCTTTGTAAGGGATGATGCAACCATGCCCCCTGCCATGTATCGAGCAGCTGTTAGTCACTTTGTGGAATGCATAAAAGGGTTTTGGAGATGCTGGCAGTGGATTCTTCGAGCACCTTCATTACTTCTCTCCCTGCTTTCAAACTGCAGTGGCATATTTCGATTTCATGCACATTTTCAACTGCAGCGCCACCTATCCGAAAACACATGCCAAGAATTTCCACGGTGTCTTGCGTAATAATCGCAAATTTCATGGGTTTCACCGTTAAGCATCCTGGAGGTCTAACATTTTCATTTAGAGTGGTTAATTTCTGGACTCCCTGCATTATATATACCTTGTATGCATTTTCCCAGATGTTTATGAACGAGTCGACCTTGACGGTTGTACTGAGCTACAAGAAGAAACTCCGCTTCTTTGTTCGCGCGAGCTTATCTCGGATAAGAGACAAATATCCGACCGTTATCAGAATGATAATTTTTTTGCGACAGTTTCAGACGCTGTGCGAAAGCAGCCGTTTGTACGAGCCCGGATCCCAATACATGGAGTTCGTGAAACGCCTTCCCCGACCACCCCTGTCGACCGAGGGTGGAGAGGACACCCCTGAGGCATCCCCGTTCGTCTTCGAGCCCATCTCCACCCCGCTTCTCGGTTCTCGCCACCAGACCGGGTCCATGGACAAGAACCGACCTTCCGAGGGCTCACTCGGCCCGGAGCAGCCGGAGGGAGTCCGTCGGAGTCCTCTCAAGGCCTGGATTGGGAGTGGGATCGCCCAGTACCCGAGCGATACGGACAGCATCGCGTCCAGTCAGAGCGGGCGAAGCGTGGATCATTCCCCCACTCCCAGCCCTGGAGCCGAACTCGCTTACAAAAGAGTTCCTTCCTTCTCGACCGACGATGGGGAATCTGCTCCAGGTCACATATTCTTCATTTCGTTTTGTTTTGTTGATTTAAACTTATTTATTTATTTACTTACTCATTAGAAAGGTTTCAAAGTCCAATGAAGGACGTGGTGTCCATATGCTTCAACGCTGAGCATATACAGTATTTACCAACATGCTTTTTTATGCTTCCTTTATTCTGACACTTATTTGAAAAATATACACTCAAGTATGATGGATCGAAGCAGTATGCATGGACTGTGCAGTAAATTGCAAATCTGGGGAAATGAAAAAGAAAAAAATATAGAATTGGCAACCAATTAAGAATAACTTTGAAGCCTATTTTTCAAAATCTGACCGTTTGGACTTTGTAGCTGTGGAACCAGGGGGGAAAGACAGCGGAAACGGAGTGAGTCGAAGGCATTGCATGTCCAAGGCAGCCGTGACGCACAACTTCAGGAAGCTGAAAACCCCGGCACGATGCCGGGAATGCGATTCCTTCGTTTATCTGGGAGTCGAATGCGCGGAAGTGAGTTCCTTGACGCATCTCATTAGTCGATACCTAGGTTCCGTTTCTTGTCCATTTATTAATCTGACGTTTCGTTGGAAGTGCGGCCTGGCGTCGCACAAAAAGTGCCTGGAGACGCTGGCCATCCAGTGCGGACACAAGAGGCTCCCCCGGAAGATGACCACATTCGGCGTGGACATCGAGCAGCACCTGAAGGAGACCTCCGCCCACATCCCGCATCTGGTCATCAAGTGCGTGTCCGAGATCGAGAAGAGAGGGATGAGGGTCAAGGTGGGTACCACTCGAGACAGTCTTCAAAATTTGATTCTTCTCGCTGATTTGTCTGATCGGTGTCGCAGGGGATTTACCGAGTGTCGGGAGTGAAGTCTCGAGTGGAGAAGCTGTGCCAGAGCTTCGAGAACGGGGCCGACTTGGTGGACCTCACCGACACCCATCCCAACGTCGTGGCCAACGTCCTCAAGCTCTACCTGCGACAACTGCCCGAGCCTCTGCTCACCTTCAGACTCTATTCTGAGTTCATCAGGTAAATTTTCCACGTGCAAAGCCCACGTGCAAGGCCTTCATGATAATCACTTGAAGTACCAGGATATAAAATTGGCAGGTGTGTCACGGGATGGAGCCAGAGATACTCTAGGCAATCATTCTCTTATTGGCCTTGATCTTCCCCGGACTGGAGATTATATAGAAGCTTTTCATAGAGTGTTTACCTGATATTTTACCTAGGGTGGCAAAGGAATCCGACTCCCCATCGTCCAACCCAAAGAAGACCCTGGACGGGATGAGGGAACTGGTCCGCCGCCTTCCCCCGACCCACTTCGACACGGTGGCCTACCTGATGCGCCACCTCCACCGGGTGTCCCTCGAGTCCGACCTCAACAACATGCCACCGAGCAACCTGGGGATCGTGTTTGGGCCGACCCTGCTGAGGATGTCGGAGGGGAGCGCCTCGCTCAACTCCCTCGTGGACACTGTGCATCAGACGAAGGCCATCGAGATCCTCATCGATAATTCCAACGAGATCTTTGGATCTGCGGATCACGCTACGGCTCCGCATGTTCCTGTGTCGAAGGCCGAGGGAACTCCTCGTTCTCTCAGGTGGGGAAGTTTTCAAATTGGAATAATTTTAAGTAAATATAGAATTTACACCCTTACAAAAATTTTTACCTTAGGTAAAATTGGAACGGTGAAACTGAGGTAAAAAAAACCACGTTTTTCCCCCTTTCTTTTGTCAGAAGACCCTACAGGTAAATATTAGGGGGAAAAGCGGTTAAATATAAGTGAATGAGGGGGTAACGTTTTGTATGGGCATAAAAAAAATGCACCCTCGTCCAACATTATCGACTGGATCACATATAATGTTTCCATTATTCAGTGTGGAGAGTTCGGACTCGAACTTCCTATCCCGTATGCCTCTGGTCCGTTCCTTGTCATCAGTGGGGAAGAAAGCCTTGGGCAAGGACACCGAAATAGTAAGCACCACGATGGAAAAGCGGGATCCGGAAGTGAACGACGAGATCAACATTCCCGGCTTCATCGAGACCCCTCCGGCAGATGACACCCAGCCCGAGGGTAACCTGGAGTCACCCGTAACTTAGGAGATTCTGTCTTCGATTACTCTAATCGACGTTCGATTTCGATGTTTTCACAGAGTCCTTGACGAACATGAGCCTGACCTCAGACGACGACCTGCCCATCCTCTTACCGGACGATTCGGGCAAGCGGTCGCCGCTGATCCGCCGCTCGGCACCCGTGGACCCATCGACCCGTCACCAGATCCTGCGAAAGAGCGCCTCGGACGTCCCCCAGGGCCAGGAAGGAGCCTCGAACAGCCGGAGCACCAAGGCCCGTGCCCCGCCCCCACCCACCGAGTCCTTCGCCAAGAGTAACTCCAGCCCGCTGCTCGTGGCGGGGTCCCGCCTCGACGACATCGCCTTCATCGACCAGTCGGAGGCGCCGGGCAGCCCGAAGCCCCACAACAGCTCCATCGACTCGGACTATAGCTTCGACGGGACTGAATGCCCGCGCGGGAAGTCCCTACAAGGCGACGTGGACCTCGAAGACGGCTCCGTGTTCCACCGCGGCAGCCTCGACAACCTGACCTCGAGCGAGAGCTCCCAAGACGTCGACTCCTTACCCGTGACGGAGGACTCTCAGAGCAGCGAGTTCGCGGACGAGCCGGACGTGATGTCCGTGACGAGGTCCGACGATCCGGACCCGTCCCTCCGCTCCACCACCACTGCCGTCACTTCGGTCCTTCACTCCAGTGAGTCCCTGTTTTTGTTTCCGTGTCCCGGCTTCGCGTGCTTAGATTCGTGGGTGACCCCCGGGAACCCTGCATGCTTGCATCGCACCTGTCAACCTCTGGCGTCCAGGTGCCTCGTTTTCGAATCCACGACCCCTTGGGCGCTCTGGTGAAAGAAAGATGTTGCAAACGACCTTTCTGTGAGCCGATAGAAAACCCGAGAACGTCGCGAATATAAAATTCGACTTGTCGAGCTTCTTCCGTGTGCGTCGCAATCGTTCTGTCTCGTCCCCACCCGCTGTCGGTTTGTCGCTGCTTCCACGTTCCTGCGACCTCCTGTTCCTAGAAACGCTTTTAAGAGAATGATCATTGAGGAATTTGTGAAGAGGGAATAAAAACCTACCCCAGACACGCGTGAGAATCCGGAGCCGGAAGCCCAACGCAGCCGGGGACGAGCGACGTGGTCGAAGCACACGAAGAGCATGGGCGCGGCCGAATTCCTCATGAAACGCTTCAAGAGGAAGATGAAAATCAGATCCAAGTCTGATACCTAGGGCTGTCGACTTGTACGCTGTAGGTGCATGTCCTATCGTCCTTTGGGTCTCCTTCGATTCCTGTCCTTCGTTTCCCCCCGGATCCCACAAAAAACAAACCTCTCCTCGAGTTCGTTCGGAAGTGTTGACGGTGGGACGTGGATGCTTTGCAGAGTACACGGAAGGCGGTTCCAAGTACGTGTCCCCGTACCTGAACAGTACCTACGGCTCTCGGCTGTACCGCCAACCGTTAACGGCGTCGGACGGGGACGCGAACAAGGTGAAGATCCGGGTCCCGGCGTCCACGACGGAGAAGCTGATGAAAAGCATCATCGCGGGAGACGCGGGAGGTCCCAAAATCCGACTGCCGGGGACGGATCTCTTCGAGTTCAACTCCCAGGCGGCGGGGAAGGTGGGACTGAGCTATCGGGAGGACAGCACGACCGTAAGTGAAGCCGTGAAGGGACTCGGTGGAGGGGTTCGCAGCGGTGACGGGATTCACAGCGGTGATGGGTTCCTTCGCGTTACCCGGGATGTCTCTGGCTTTTCCTCTTCCTTGCCTTCCTCTGCGCTCGTTGCCGAACCGTCATCGGCGTCGTTTGCCCACAGGTCGCGTGATCCTGCGAGCGACTCGGAACTCGTGCAATGCATCGCCGTCACGAGAGGGCAATACGTGTGACCGTGTGATTTTTTTTTCTCTCTCTCTCTCTTATTTTGTCTTTGTTGTCTTCGATCGGAGCATTCCTCGTGGATATTTTTGTCGTTTTTCTTCTTCCCCATGGTGCTACACCTTCGGTTTCCCCCCCTCCCCGGTTCGTAGGAGAAGACTCGAGACTCTGGGACGTTCCGTGCCGGTCCGCGCCCGGAACGAGGCCACACACGCTCTTCCTGCTGCCAGTGCGAGACGAAACGCGAAAGAACCGTTTTTATAGACTCTGGATTTACCAAAGAAATATCGTTTTAAATATAGAGATGATTTTGGAAGAAAGTGATTTTCGTCGTCTCATTCGACCGAACGGAAGCGAGGGCAACCCGCTCGAGGGTAACCCATTCGCTCGCAGTGAAATATGCGATTTGGAAAACTCGGCGCGAAACGAATTCGTGCTCGATCGAAAATCGATCACGTGAGTTTCTCGCGAAGAATATGAGACCTCGTGAAGCTTCGTGAGGTTCCACACGTGTAGCTATGAAGTGTCACGAGATCTCAAGAGTTCCTTTCGATCTGACGATCTTCGAAACGAAGAGAACGATAGCTTACGTGGCACGTATATCCACGTGGCACGCCGGTGTGTCGCATTCGCCACGAGGAAGAACCATGGTTCCAAAAAACCATGTCGATCCGAGTGATCGTTTCTCGTTTCCTTCACCATGCCCTTTTCATTTTTAGCAAAATATTAATTTCAATCTCTCTTAGTAATTCCTCGTGATTTCTCGAGGGACTTGGAACGATTTCCTTCCGCATCACCAAAGAAATGCACGGAGAAGAAAAACTCCATCGAGGTGAATTAGACCTCGCCCAGAAATGTAAAGAAAAAACGTGCGGATGAACGACTCTCACTCGAACACGAGTTTGTTTTCGTTCGAAACGGTATGCTCTTCGTACGTAAAATTTCATTAAATGTTTCATTCCATTTTCCCTTTTGCAATCCATCATTCGATATCGTTGGCGATACGTATTCCGAAGGAATATTCATTCTCGAAATGCAAAGGGACTTCATCGTGACGTGGATCTTTAAAAGGATACGGTGAATTCGGTTTTTAAAGGCCAACAAAATGACATCATATTTAGGAAACCCCTTTCGCGGTGGATTCATCTGGAAGATGGAAGATTTTCGCTTCGGTGGGGTTCCCGTAGCCCCGATTCCTCTCCTCGGTTCACGGTGCGGGCTGGAGTCCAGTCGGATTCCAGCACGTAAACACGAATGTATTCTTTTCACCCGTGAGACATCTTCGTACCGAGTTCATGGGACATCGGCCCCCGAACGAAGATGACGTCATCTTTCCATCCCTGCGGTATTCTCTCTTCGGACCGGGTCCGAGAAACTCCACCGAGGCCTAGCACGTCACGCGTTCTCTTTTGCACGATTCGTTTTTGGTGTATATTTGCCCCTCTGTCGCGTGTTTGCCGACGTCCGTCGATACCGCCGGGCGAGAGACTCACTCGGAAGAAAGGAAGGAGATCCCGTTTCCGGGGTCGTTTAAACTTCTTCGTGATGAAGGCCTCGAAGGACTCCTCCTCGGGGTGTTTCGTCGGCCCTTTCTTTTCCTTCCATCCATCACGTGGACGCGGCCCACGCGACGTTCGCGAAAGCTCCGGGATTGCGAGAGGAACGAAAGTTTCACACCGCGTCTCGCAACGACGTCGACGACTCGGAGCGAAACCCGCGCGCTGCATCGTGCAGGAAGAGGTGAGTAAGACTCGCGTGGGATCGCGAGCGGAGTGAGAAGCGCGTGGGACCCCAGATGGGAAAAGCACCCCTGCTCGAGACGGGAGGGACGGAGGTGTGCATACGGCACGGTCCTCGACCTCGCGATCCACACGCACACGCGCACTCCCACGCCTTCCTCCTCCGTATAACGACGCACCAGGGAGTAGTAGTAGTATTTAGGAAGGAGAAAACATCTCCGTGGCGTCGAGATTCCGGCTTGACTCGTCTCGACCGACCACCGTCCACGGTTCGCACGCCTTCAAAGGAACGCATCGATGCAGGTACGAACGAGACCACCAGAAACACACTACGAAATGAGAAAATCTCCCCACATCTTGTCGTCTTTCTCGTTCCTCGTCGATACTCCGCGCGCGACACGACACGCTACGCTTTCGATCCCTCAGGCGATTCTCAAACTCACGAGTCTTTCATCGGGGAACCTTTCCTTCGAGAAAGGTTCCCCAAATGCATTCCGTCGTGTTTCGAGCTATTTCATTCCTCGTCGACGCACGTAAGGGATCCCCGAGCCTCGGTACGTTCGACTGCGTCGTGCGGAAGATGGCGTACGTTTAGAACCACGATGTCGGCAATGTAATGAACGTGTCGTGACGAAAAGGTTCATTTGGAAGAATGATTCCCAGCACGAATATCATCTTTTTTTTTATTTCATGAAAGTCTGGAAATAAAATAAGTTCTCGAAATAACCCAAGCAGCATGTTTACGTGAACAAGATATTACTTTTTTTTCAGACGATATCAATTTATTGCGATTGCCATGAAAATGACACGAGTTTACGTAAAATCGACGAACCGATATTTACGTCTCCAAAGTGTACGAGTATTTTACACGAACGAGACCGACATCGAGTACACGGTATCGAGTTTGTGCAAAATGAACACCACACCATCCATGAGAAACTTTAGCCGACCCATCCCGCATTTGCAGTACCGAGATTCCTCACTCGATGGAACCCTTGTTCCCTGCACCCGAGAGCGCCCCTCGATCGACGACAACGTGAGAAGTTCCACCGACCGAAAATCATCGAGGTCTGGCGGTCCGGAAGTAAAGTCTCGATGTGACAGCCGGCAGTCGCGATCCTTCGCAATTTCCTTAACGTCTGGAGAGAGAGTGCGGTCAGAGCGACGCGCAGGCATCGATGTGAGGTCGCGTCGATCGGAGAAGCGCTCGATACCGGTTCTTCAGAAGTTGAAAACGCCAGCTCCTTTGGCTGTGGGTGCATTTTCGACATTTTCTAGCGACTCGTATCTACAGGGTGACCGGAAAGTTCGGAGACACTCAAAAATACCAATATTCCGATGCCATAAAGAACGATAAATGTTTTCTTATTTTTTTTTTAAAATAAGTTTTAAAAATGAGGCGTTTTGGAAAATTGTCCAAAATTGTCGCAGCTGTTTCACAGGGATTTCGTCCCACGCTTTCGGCAAAGTTGACTTGAGGCTGTCCAAATTTTTCGGCCGAGTAGCACAGACCTTAATTTTTTTTAGAGCATAGATGAATGTGCGCCGAGTGACATCGCAGGGTTGCCAAAACCTCGTATCTGCTGATTGAGTTTCCATGAGAGAGAGAGAAGAAAACGTTTCTCCTTCGTGAAACAGCTTCATGTGAACACGATCGGCGAAACCCTATAACGGGGTGACCCAAAAAAAAATCCGAATTTTACACACCTGTAGATGGTGTACCATATGAGTTATCGTCAGGAAATTGAAAGGCTTTTGTATGCAATGTTTGCAGGTAATGTAAGAAGATTTTCATTGTGAAATTGGCTGTCAACTACGCGAGTAACAATTTTTCTCCCGCGCGCTGTCAAAAGAGCAAGTGTGCAAAGGAACGCGTCTGAACTGAATGAAAGACCTGCTTGATGGGTCCTCCATGGAAATGTCCTCCTTGGACCGCGGCCCGAGGCAGTACGCCGGCAAGTGCATCGACACACTCACTCCGTCATTTGACGACTTGTGCGGAAAGAGCTCTTACTCGTGTTCGGAGCAAGGAATTTTATTGACATTTTCCTAAAGCCACATACCTATATAGGGTATGACATATTGAAAAAATTTCAAGACGATGTTTTGCATGGTGTCCCGTCTGCAGCCGCACGAAGTTCGGAACATTTTTTTGGGAGGGGGGGATGCACTTATCGCAAGGAACGTTATTGTGTCAAGTTTGTCTCTCATCGAGTGATAAAACGAGGATGAGTCCCTTTTTTTTAAAAGCATAATTAGATACTGGATTAGTGTGGCTTTGGCAACTCTGCAATTACAACTATTCCAAACCAGAACGAAAGAAGTTAAAATTACTCTGGATCTGGATCGATGCCGAGCAAGTTTATCTTTCGTCGCATGGAAGTCACTCTGCAGAAGAATTTTCCGAGTTCGCGTGTGAATCGAAATAAACACCGAGGCGATGGATTCTTCAATGGAGAATGCGATTGGGACAAACACGGGTTGAAAAGAATATGAAAATAGCTCTGGATGAAAAGGGAAGGAGAACGGCTTCCGGCAGAAGCCGAGAACGGGAATGGTTTCGAGACGGCGACGTCCACGAGGCCAGTTCCCGGAGCTCGACTAGTATTTAAATCGACAGCAGAGTCCTTTCCTCTGGCAGCAGTATTGGATGCCTTTCCGAGTTAGGGAATCGGGACGCGTCTTCGCTCCGGAACAAGCGGAGTAGCATCTCCCGTTGTACCAGCTCTTGTTGGAGACCCAGGAGCCGAACACCTGACCCGAGGCCCAGCCGATGCACTGGAGGAGGAGCAGGAGCAGGACGAGGAGGCGGCGGCGGGGGACTCCGAGTCGCATTCTCGTCTGAAAGACAACGTGAAGATCAGTCGGGGATGCGAGAGGTTCCACGTGGCTCGGCGATCAAAATCTCTCTTTTCTTGCATAAAGAAACAGACAGACAGACAAACTTTATTCTTTATATATACGAGGTCTGACAATAAAATAACGAGACTGTATTTTCTACCAGCTATATATTTTATATTATTGTAAACTGTGGTGGTCTCCTTGAAAGTAGTTCCCTCATGCAGCTATACACGAATTCCAGCGTTTTTTCCAACTGTCGAAGCACTTCTGGGGCCTTTTTCACGAAACTTCTTTAACTTTTCTTTAACTTTATTTCGACTATATTTCGACTTTATTAATTCTTTAACTTAATTGTTATATTCTTAAACTCCGTCCTCTGCGGGAAACCGCTCGCGAGACCGACGATTTACCAGATCGGAGGCAGTGAGTGAGTCCACCAGGGCGACATCTGCGTCCGAGGCCCTGCACCGAGTGTTTATCATCTTCGCACGCAGATGGCGGGTCGTCCGATCCCCCCCACCCTGGACCTTTCCCTTCCGAGGCGGCATTCCCCGTGTGGTGGGTCATTAATTCCTATTCCTCTCCAAGAGCATCGACTGGAAGGAAATTTGGCTCACTTCTTCCTCTCTCACCACAGTAGTCACACTAGTATTTTATGCGAATGGAGGCGTGTAGAGCACACACAAGAATAACCTGAAGTGATCCATTCAGAATTCCCCCCAAAAAAGAGGAACTGAGAG